TCATTGCTCTTCAGTACTCTTGAGAGGTCCCTCACAGGTGACTTTCCCAATGCAATTTGTCTCCTGATTTCCTGGCTGCTGTTACCAAGAGTGTTGACTGTGGAACCAAGTAAACTAAAACTGAACTATCTCAATCTCTTCACCATCCATACTGATGCTGCCAAATGGCCCAATGGTGAGATGCTTTAGACATCATAATCTTATAACTGGACTGCAAAATTTCTTAAAAAAGGAAATGTTATGACCTCCACTCATAGGAGGTGAAGGAATGTTATGATTTCAAGGTTGGGAAATAGATCAAACTTCTATATCCCTATTTTACAGATAAGAAGAGTGAGGCTTTGAGAAAACTAAGGTTAAAGAGCTAATTGAGAAAATATCCAGATATCCTGAAAGCTCATCTGGAAGATATTCCATCTTCTAATTCCAAACATTACATCTTCACTTTCAAAAAGATGCTGGTGGCATAAAAAGCCAAACGTTGGCCTGCTAACTAAAAAGTCAGTGGTTCAAACCCACCAGCTTCTCCATGGTAGACATGGGAGGCAGTCCATATTACAATGAGTTATAGTGTTGGAGACCCTCAAAAGTAGTTCTACTTTGTCCTATAGGGTCATCCTGACTGAATCTGGTCCATGGGAGTAGGTTTTATCTGGAATTATTTTTCACTTTCAATACATGCTCCATTTTAACCCATATTAATCACTAAAGTGCAAAAAAATATCATTACCAAAGCATTTCTGGAACAGCCACTATGTGCAAGGCACAGACTTGTTTTAAAATTCTTTAGTATTAGACCTTTCAACTCAATGTTATTGTTGTTGTTTTGTAGCATTAGTCAGAAATGACCCGTAGCTTACTGTCTGGCTGATTTTCAGAGGCAGTTAATCACACACCACGTAGCAGTTGGTGGCCTTTAACAGTGCAGATAATTTTTTCTTCACAGGTGAGCCAACAAAGATTAGGAGAGAGTATATATTTTGTTTCAGATCTAGTATGTGGAATGTTATGATTTGAACTCAATTCCATTAGACTCTTGGAATCAACTTTCCAGATGTTTTCATCACTGAGAAATGTTAAATTATGGAAGGATAGTTATAGCTTACAGTAATATGATAGAAGGTTTTTGCCAAAAATTTTATTAATGTTAAAATATTCTGGTAGGGAACAGCTTTGAAGGATGTAGGTTCTTTAAGTAACATGATTAACTCACTGTTTGGATATAAAGATTATGCACATTGACAGAAAGCTGCAATATAAAATTCTAAGAACAAAGCTAAGTGTAGCACATGAAACTAAAACTATTAGCTCAACCTTAGGCCAGGAACCTTTTACAGATAGAAAACATGGCTAAAGACTATCCTACTCTCAGAAAACACGGATAGAGGAATGAGCACATAGAAAACAAAAACACGTGCATGTTCTCATTTTGTTGATCTCTGTCTAGTCTCATCTTTTCCTTAGTCTTGCTATTCTGCAACTGAAATTGCTTGCATAAACAACTTCATATGGAACAAAGACTGAAAAGGGTGGAAGGAATTAATTTATTCTACTAACCCCATCAAAACAATTTATAAGTGAAAATGAATAATCCAAAGAAAATGTGCTGGTGGTCCAACTGTCCAACAAAATGTCTTTTCACATGACTGAGAGTTGAAAATAAAAACACAGTATGAAATTTGTGAAGCATTGCATATTTTTAAAAGTTGATTGGGCCCAAGGGTCTAGTATTATTTTATTTTGGAGGAACATTCTTCTAAGTTGTATAGCACTCCTCTGTCAGTTTGTGGCACTGAGGTAATCTGAGTTTGCTGTGATGCTGAGCCTTGTGCCATTGGGAGTCAAATGCCATAAAGGTTGCCCATGGCAGATAGTGTTTGGTGGAGCTCTCAGTATAAGACAAGTTTGGAAGTAGGAGTGGCATCCACTTCCTAAAGCACATGCCTATGGAAACGCTATGAACTTGGAGAAATGATAATAGCTATAGAAAGGCTTCAGAACTTTTGTTCATAGGGTCACTATGAGTCATGCTTGACTCAAAGGAAATCAACAACAACAACAACAACAACAATCAATTTATCCAAAGAGTAGCATCCTAATGGCAATGAAGTCTATGTCATTGTCTTTGGGGAGCTAAGCAATTTCCACAAAGGTCAGGAAGAAATCAAGAAAAGGTCATCCTCTGAAAGGGAAGTTAATAAAAGTCATCAGAGTCAATGAGTTGTCATTTCAATAATACTCCATCTTAGAGAACGGCAACATGTCTATGATAGAAATTTTAAGTTATGGGCATAAAATTACTATGTTTATTGTCATTAAAACCACAGGAAAATTTGACAATAAGAAAAGCAAGTCATATAAATGACAGCATTGTCCAAGGAAAATAGTAAGGATTTAGGCAATTCATATATTTGAGTAAAAAAATATTCCTAGAGTGAGGAAAGCCCTGAACAAAGCTACTCTGACATGACAGAAGTATCAATTGAAAAGAACTCCAAGGTATTGTTATTCTTCAAATCTAACTGAAACATCTTCCACTACTTAGCTTATAAAATGATAGGTAGTAAGAGAGTTGCCAGATTGGCTCTTCTCTCTGAGAATTAAAAAATCAAGGACTTTTCAGGGTTTACCATCCTGACAGATCTAGTAATTTTGAGTACTGGGTTATGGAACACAGTTTTAGACAAGGACTCTCAAAAGAAACGTTATTAATTGTATTTTTACATGCAATTTTTAAACCTCTAACTAGAACATATGTTAGCAAATTAGAGCTATTAATTAGGTTTTATTTGGGTCCTGGTAAAATTAGGACATTAAATTCCAGAATTTATAAAAGTAAAATCTACATTCCTTAATATCCCCAAGATATGATTTCTTACACTGACTGAGGAAGCATTCTTTTTTAGCTAGTTATTTTTGAACAAAGTTTAAATTGCACTTAAACTAATTTATAACTTAGTAAGCATTATTAGGCAACCTGGCAAGCTCTATGAATCTAACTGATGCAGAAGCATAGCTCAATGAAATGGATGATGAATTTATAGTTCACATCACAAAAAGAAGAAAAGGTAGATTTCAATAGAAAAGAAAATGTCTTACTTGGTTAAGAATGTCTTGTTTCTGTGCATGCAAGGAAAGAAAGAATACACATATTAATGTAAGATAACGTATACTCATTATCTCATAACCCTGATAATTGAGTAAGAATTTCAAGTGTATAGGCTTATTCTAAAACAGAGCCTAGATCAATGGTTCTCAAAATTTAGTTCCAGTCCACAGTAGAAGTGTTTCCTGGAAAAAGACAAAATCGAAAATTCTTGAGCCCATCCTAAAAACCAGTAAGTCAGAAATTCAGTGTGAGGGCAGCAGTATATATTTTACAAACCCTCTCAAAGATTCTGATGTAGGTTAGACTGTGAGAACCATCGACTAGATTCATCTATGACTGTGATAAGCTAGTAGTTTTAACTGGTATGGAAAAAATAAAGGAAAACATATAGTATGCTAGAAAGAGACACATACATAAACATACACAGTTGTTATTGAATAATAAATATATACACATATATATTTATACATATAACCACTATTCAATGTATTTCCCTCTCTTTAGGATTTTATCAGAACAATTTTATTAGAATTGAAAGTCCAGGTCAAAGACATATATGCACATCAGACCAAACAGATTATTCTCATATTACCACATTTTATATTTATATCTGATATGCCCTGGCTATGTTTTATGTTGAAACCTCTTATTAAGACTGGATGGTAAACTATAAACTAATAAGAATAATATTCTTAATATATATTTCTGTATTAGGAATAAAATTAAAAATTTCATGTATCTCAAATATATTTCTCCTACATGAAAACAGATCTCAAACACATGTCATCTTCACAGGGTTTAACTTTTTACACACAGTGCTTTTAAAGGCATTAACTCAAATAAATTATAATCTAAATAATTAGTATATCTACTATGTAAGCAGCTTTGCTTTGTAGCAGGAGAAGCAACTTAAGGCATATTTAGATTGTTCTCTCTTTGAAAATAGATTTCCTATTACATAGTCTTTAGAGGGAGCTCTGGTGGCCTACTGGGAAGAAGCTCTACTGCAATCCTAAAGGCACATGGTTTGAATTTACAAGCTACTCTGAGGGAAAAGGATGGGTAATCACCTACCATGTGATGAACTGTTTCTGGAAACCCACTGGAGGGGCAGTTATTAATTGGGACCAACTTGATGGCATACAACAATAACAGTGTTTGTATGCCTGACATAATCTATCTTTAATTTAGAAAGAAGACACTAATTATTAATTCTAAAGGTTGTCTACATGAATCATGTTAAAATAGTCCTGTATTGTTAAATGTCGTCTATAAGCATGCTAAAAAATTTTGTGCACAATATGGCCAATCAGTACACCATAGAAATTTCATTTTTTAACTGACATGAATTACTTCATGTACTTAATTAACACTTAAGAAACTGAATGGTTATATTTGGAAGAAAATCTCATGGTCTCGATGATTGTTACTGACGTTTTCTAAAATACCCATAAGTTTTTCATACAGTTATATCAATGTAAAAACATTTTTCTAAAGAAAAAAATAAGTAAATCTCTATCCTTGTTAAGAGTAGACACCGTTTCACTCCAAAATGAGAAGTATTCTTGAGTCCTTAACACTTCACTTCATTAATAATGCATTTTACCAGAAGATCCATCCATTTATGGAGAGGTACTATATTTTTTTCAAAGGCTGATATCACATATGAATAAGTTAGTTGTCTCATTCAACAACCATTTTTTATATAAATCTAGAATACAGTTGATTAAATATTCTCGTAAAAAGGATAGTACATGTAGGATTAAATTCTTAGAACTTTTTAGATAATAATTGAACTAAAGAGACAATTTTATAAACAAGATCATGCTAACAGATGAGAGAAAATTATGAGTCATATTTCTGATAATATAAGATAAAAATGCATGTTTCTAAACAATTGGGAATAGAGTGCTCATGACCTTTTGAGTCTACAATAACTCAATAAGATTGTCCTTTTACTGTTCTCATTACGTTTTCTCAGATGTTACTGGTTATATTGATTATATTGGTTTTCAGTTCTCTTCAATTATTCTGTCCATACTTCCCCCTCATTCTGTAATACCTTGTAAAATATAGTTTATGAGGAAACTTGACCAAACTTTTACTTTTTACATAATTTATGAAAATAGGCTTTCAATTGGCTAAATTTTCCCTATCATTTATACGTACAAAAGATTAATTTTATTTCTTAAAACAGAAAAACATTAGCAAAATAAAAGAGTATAAAACATATATCCTTTTAATACATAGAGAGAACAAGAAAATATGACAGTAAAAATAATTAACTATGAGAAAAGCCAAAAAAATTTACTGAAAGATACAAAAGAGTTTAAGAGTTAAGAGTTTAGACTGTATAAGAGTTAAGAGTTAGAGTGGCTTGTGATAACTACATTGTTAATTCAATCAACAATAGAAAAGTAAAAAATTAATGGATAATCTAAACTTTGCTCATTAGACATGTCAATACATAACAACGATGAAAAAAGAAATCATATTTTGGTGTGCACACAAATATCTCTAGATGAACAGATAACAGCAATCAAAGAAGCAAAAGAATAATTTTTAAGGGTGGTTTGTTTTCATTTCCACACCAATCAAATAGCACATGGCGAAGCTGTAAATTTATTCACAGCAATGGTCATCTGATATTCAATATACAACATCTCCATTCTAATATTAAATGGAAGTCAATTGAACAAATAATTATTAAAGCAAAGATATTCATGCAAGCATGGTATTCTAAAGCAATCCACAGGACATACAATATTTACAAGGATTTAATCTCAAAGACTTGATGCTGACAAAATACACTAAGAGTAAAACAGGGGGAAGAAAATTCTTTTTGTCCAAGTTGCCTCTGTAAGGAGGCAGTCTTTCAGCTACAAGCAAATCTTCTTTTTGTCAAGGAAATAATTATCTAAAAGGAGTCACTCTCTAGGGTTAAATTTTGTAGATCATAGATTCATAAACACACAGCTACTCTTTCTATCCACTTTTCTAAAGGAAAAAAGAGTCTAACATTAGTCTATGATTTTTACTTTCTTTTTGAAGCATGCAACGTAGAAATTCCATTCTCATTAGCAAAATTTTGTTGGATAAAATGCATATTTACATGTCTTCTAGAATAACATTTAACTAAGAACTTAATCTTGTTTATGCTATAATATATGTATATATATGTATGTGTAAATGTATGCATATATATGCATTATATATCTATATAGCATATATATAATTTTCCCATTACCAAGCAATCTTCGTAAAAGAAATTTCCACACACAAAACCAGACATAATAAAACTGATATTTAAAAAAAGAAGTTTTACCCCTTCAGGATTATACTTTGCAAGCACACCATTACCATGGAATTCTTCAAGAACATCCTTTAATTTCTTTGTAGAATCTATAAGAAATAGAAAACACATGAATTGCTTATTTGTATTATGTCTCTGAAGCCCAATATAAAAACGAAAAAAACTTAAGTCAAGAATAAGCATCAATAAAACAGAATTTAAAAATAAGTGCATGAAACATGATTAAAAATTATTTTATTGTAGAAGAAAGCAAAAAAAGGGGGGGGGAGGAACCCAAAACAACATGCTTTTCCAAATGTATTTTCCAAGAAGGATATAAAATTAAGAAAATGAACCTCATTTAAAAGCAAGCCTGGAAGCAGGACCGGCATCCACTTCCAAAATGGCTTGCCTCTGGAAACTCTATGTACGAACAGTGCTCAGGCTGTTCATTCACAGGGTCGCTATGAGTCTTCTACGACTCGACGGCATTAAACAACAACAACAATGCGAAATCTATACTTGGACCAAGAGGCAGTCGTCAGAACAGAGCAGGACAACACTGCATGGTTCAAAATTGGGAAGGGTGTACGTAAGGGATGTGTCCTATCTCCATACATTTTCAACCTGTATGCAGAGCAGATTATCCGAGAGGCTGGACTCTATGAGGAGAAGCGTGGCATTAAGTTTGGTGGACGATCTATCGACAATCTGTGCTATGCAGATGACACAACCTTGCTTGCTGAAACTGAGGAGGACCTCTTGCACTTACTGCAGAGGGTCAAGGACAGCTGCCTTCAATATGGCCTGAGGCTCATTGTCAAGAAGACAAAGATTCTCACCACTGGACCAATCGGTAGCATCAGGATGAATGGCGAAGGGATTGAGATTGTTCACAGCTTCAGTTTGCTCGGCTCCATGGTCAACACTCTTGGCA